ATAGAACGAACAATTTGCGCGCTGTCTTTTTATGTTTGTTTTTTTTTGTTGTAGTTTTTTTTTTTCGATTTTTCTTTTCGCGGTCTCGACGTTTATGATGCCGTGCTGTGGTCGCGCATCGGTGAAACTGGAAAATGTCGTGGGTCGGTTTTGAAGCAACGTTTTGGAATTTTACAGTCGCACAATTTACTCCGCGCGTGTGCGCGTGTGTGCCGTGAGTAAACTAACTATTTGCGAGTCTACGTAGAATATATAATATGCACGAGAGGAATGGGGTTCACGAGCGACGCCTATGCCGTGAGTTTTCGTTTTCTTTTTTTTTCTTCTCTTCGAAGTACTAAAATGTTTGCACATAGAAACTCGCGAATTATAATGATCTTTTTTTTGATGTACTTTTTTGTGGTCGCACTTTAGATTATTTCAACAACTACAAATGTTACAGAGTGAAAATCACGTACAATAAGAATTTTCAAATTGATTTTTTGAATTTTACCATGTGTGATAATTTACGTTTAGAAAATATATATTTTGCATATATATATGTATATACATATATATATATCCAGTGTTTGACTCTTAAGGTTCTTTTTGATTAGTTTGATAGCAAGAAGATTTTTTTATGAGATATTCGTATAAATATTACACTAGTAATCCTATTTAGGAACGAACGTTTGCTGAATCATCACACGAGCGAGGCTGCGATATGAAGATGCTCGAACAGAACTGACAGTACTTGAGCACAGCACTAAAAACAGAGAAGCGGTGTTGCTTGTAGATAGCTATACGGAACGAGTTTGAGTTGAAGCGATATATTGACCGAGGCTAAAAGTAGTTTAGGATTGTAAAACGGTAGTAGTGATGGTACAGCCGGGATACTACTCCTCAAGCAGTTGAAGTAGTTTACGGACGTGCAAGGTTTGGTGGAACCGGTGTCAGCAGTGCAGACCGTAGACTTGAGAAAGTGGCTTAGGATTGAAAGTAGAAATGGTCTGATATGATACGGTCTCTGAGACGAGAGTTCGTTTCGTAGTAGTGTAGAGCGTCTTGGCGAACGTCAAAACAAAATTACATGCTTTCTGCATTGCGGAAACGCGTGGTAATATGCAAATATGTACATTTAAACCGTAATGCGAGATCTCGCAATACGTTTCATATCCGAAGCGGAATAATACATTCTTCTGTCTGAAAGTGTCTGCGTTTGACATGTTGATACGCTTGGAAAACGCAGACGCGTCTACGTTACCTGCGAAGTTATTAACTGCGCGGAAAAACAACTGAAGCGCTTCAGCAAATTTGTCAGAAGAGGAAACGCGCGAGGGAATCAAATGTGCGAAACAAATTTCGCACATTTCCGTCAAAGTGTGCGTACAAGAGTTTAACGTGAAAAAAAAAAAAAAAAAAAATAGTCTCAACGATAGTTTCTTATCTCAAGCGGAATTCTTCTCGACGTGTTAACTCTGAAGACCGTCTTGAGCGCAATTCTACACCTTTATACGAAGCTGCCGGCTGCAACTCGGGGGTGAGGGGGAAGGAAATGGATGCCCGTCCTTGACGAGCTTGTCGAGAGGAGTTGCATAGCTCGAATGTCACACCGAATGGATAAAGCCGGGATAACTTGTGTGTGTGTGTATATTTTTTTACACGAAGTGTCGGATCTTTCGATGTACAGAAGCGAGTATCAAGAGAGAAAATGCCTTCCTTCTTCTCTCTCTTTCTCCTCTCTTCTTGTTCGAAGTCGAATGTTCGTATTTCGACGCGTTAATTCCAGAACTCCGTCGCTTCGAACGCTATTTTCGAGGACGCGAAGCTGTCAGTTGCACTTACGGAAGGCTCGGCTACCAGTTCTGACGAGCTCGTCAAGGGAGGCGATAGCATCGCGATACAAAGGGAGAGAGGTGACGTCGGACGCTTTCGGCAGAAAGTGTCGGCAAACAGACCGCGGGAATGCTTTACTTTACGTGCTAGTGCATCGTTGCGTGCGCTCGCGCGTTGCGCACTATCGCGCGAATGTTTGCTCTCTCTCTCTCTGTCTCTTCCGCCGCAATATCGCCCGATTGGGGTAGAACGCGGGGGGTGCCCAGGCATCAGGAAGACGAGCGACGTGTGCCGTCGCATGTGTGACTCGTTACTTCGTGTAACATCTGCCGCGCTCTGACACACTCGACTCACTCTATCCCATCGGCTACGCGGATAAACTTGTTTTTCACGAAACCGGAAAAACGGTTGAAAAACTTGCGGTGATAAAAAACAAAAAACAAAAAAAAAAAAAACACAAACAAGCGCAAGCAAATGGCCTGCGCCACGTCTGTTCCGCTCGCTCGATTTCGTTGATTGTCCCGCGGCGCGGAATGCGAGGAAGAGAGAAAGAGAATATGGAGAACACCCCCGGTTAGGTATTTTCCCACTTTATCAAACGCGCTATCTCTGATATGCAACACTCTGTTGTTTCATGAAATCACGAAACGGCGCTCTAAGTGCATCGGTGATTTCGCGCGCAGATTGAAGTTGGCGCCGACAACGGCGATTTTGTCAGTGGAACTATTTCGCTATTTAACAGTAAAATCTTTCTGTTTGCTAAACATAAATAAAGTTCAATTTCTTGTAAAAAAAATATATCGCTTTGAAAGTAGATAACTTGTAGTGGTAATTATTACGATTTTTAGTCATGGGATTGAATAAATTCTTCGGGTGTGTTCGATTGTGATGTGTCGGAGCCAATGAACCGCGAGACAATCGATATCGATTTCACGTGATCAGATGTAGCGTTCGTGACCATTATTGCTTTTACAGTGCCTTTTGTTAAATGTAGCCTGAAAATTACGGGTTTTCCTCGCAAGAAAGAAAGTTAGATAACACACACTTGGCCACTACGGAGCTTTAATTTACGTCTCTCCGGTCTACGCCGGGTTTTCATTTGACCGCAGAGCGATAATTCGTAAATGAACATTTCTTAAGTGAAATTTTTGCGCTTATTTTATGTTTTTCGCGAATTGTTTGTCAAGCAAAAGCGTAGCAACAACACGTAATGTGATTGCAGTGTTAGTATCAATCTTTAGAAAAACGTCTTTCGAGAGAGCTCGAGAGACTTGGCAAGATAACTTTCTCCGTGTTTGCACGCTACGCTACGTTATCGGAACGTTCATCGGATCGCGCTAACTTAGATGAGGAGTAAGAGTCGCCGTTAACATGAAGAAGGAAAACGGCGCCGGTACCTAGCATTGTTGGCTGATCGAAAAAGATAAAAAAAAAAAAAAAAAAAAAAAAGAAAAGCGAGAGAGAGAGAGAGAAAGAAAGAACGAAGAGAGAAGAAGAACAGTGCAACAACACGCGGGCAGCTTCGATTGAAAAGTTCGGTCCGCGTTCAAGCAGTCGATTCGCGTTCGTGAAACTCGCGGAACGAAGAGCCACGGCTTACGTGAAACTCTGGCTGCCAGACGAAATTAAAGCGTCGGGATTGGCGATAAGAACACGTCGTGTAAAATACGAAATCGAGCGGTTTATTTATGTGACAAACGTAGTTCTGAACACGAGATAAGGTTTTGCACAGTAGCCGGACACGCTCTTCCCAATACGTGTTTCTCATTCTTTCTGATATCCTTGAATTTTTTTCTTTTATTTCAATAATCGTACAGATGTATTGCAAAATTCCAACGCGCGGAATGAAATCCGCGATGTTTTTCGCGATGACAACTCCGGTATCGTTGCTTTCAGAGAGAGAGACAGCATATACCAATTTGTTGTCTTTTACACAACTTGGTGCTCAGCCGTGTGCCGTCTTCCTGATCAACTTACAAGTCGAGATGTATGTTATTTGTTTTGCTGTAATTAGCAACCGAGTTGTTCGCGCGCGACACAGTAAGTTGACTTCCAGAGTTGTTGGCGTCGTAATACTTTTTATCTTTCTTTCTTTTTTTTTTTTCATCGGATATCTGATTACGTTCGTCTGTTGAATTACTTGTTGCAATTCTCGCACGCACACACACACACACACACACACACATACATGCGTGTGTGACTCAGAAGCGCGTATGTAGGAGCGTGATGACGTAATGACAAGAAGCTCTCGAAGAGCGAGCGGTAAAACTAGTGTGGTGTTTTAGGTTTGATAGGACTCATCTCACGTCACACGCCAAAAGAGAGGGCGCGAAAAGAAGGCGCGAAAACTTTTCTTATCCAACGGCGAAGTTCCGTAATCATGGGACTTTCCGCTTCACTTTCAGCGGCACCTGCCGCAACCGTATTCACGAGATTGCTTTGTTAGTTATTTGTTGAGGAACTCGGGTTCACTGCGACGAATAGACGTTTAATGAGCTCGTTCCGTCGTAAAATGTTTGTATAACTTCGTCGGGTTTTCATCGCAGGAAAGAGAAGACCGGGAGAGGAAAGGGGACGCGTCATTATCCGCTTCGCGTTAACCGCCGGACGGACCTGCGCCTCTGCGAGAAGGAACTCTCTCTATACAAAGACGCCTCGTCGGCAATTATCAGAGCACTTAGAAAAGTGTGTCCCTGTGTATTTTTTTTGTTCCTTTCCACCTGACGCTTTCCGGCCATTTGTCAAATTGAACGACTGAGAATTGGAGCACTTCGCATATTCGCTCATTCGATCGAGAAACGCAGTTGTTGCATCTTTATATTGAGAAAGTCGCTTCAGAATTTCATCATTCGAGATTCAATTACGAAATTGTTTTTTTTTTTTTTTTTTTTATTTTACGTAATAAAACTAAGGTAGGTTTTATTGATAAAACATAAAAAAGAGCGTATATAAATTTAAGGACAGTTGCGTTTATAGTCTGTAATTTACTGAAGATAAATGTGTAAATACTGGCACATCGTCACACATCCGTCTCTTACAATCTTTATCAAATATTACCGAGAGAGTTTCTCACTTGTTTCAGCAGAAAATATATTTTTTGTCCGTCTATCTGATCTCGTCGCGAGATCAATAACGAAATAAAGACACGGTTCGGTCAGATTGGATAAAAAATTTTTGATACTTACTCGACTGCAATATCGTATTTATGGATTTGATAGTCGGATCGGTATAAATTCGAACGTCGAATCCGAGCTTGTCTAATGACTCCTTAAGATCCAGCGAGTCTTTCACGGAACCTTTTCTCGTGTTCATGCTCTCGAAGTTCACGTGATTTAATATCAGCGCCACTCCCGTTCTCTTGTGGTTCATGTCGTATTCCTCGGCGAACGGATCGATGTCGATTTTGACAGCCCTTTGAATCTCCGACGAATCTCTGCGTAAAAAAAAAAAAAATATACGTATCGTAAACGTGACGTTATTAATTGTGTCCGATCAGCGTGAAATAGGACGTGAGCAGTTCAATAACAAAAATAGTCAGTAAAGCGACAAAATTACGAATTGGTTTTACAACCACATTTATTTCACTTGTATATTATGTAAAATATATATTTTTTTCTAACTAATAGTTATAGTTAAAATGTGGAACATAAAGATCCGACGTGATATCTTGATTTTGTATTCTGAGATGTAACACGAGTTTGCTTCAACAGTGAAAGTCGATATCTTTTGTAATTACAGTTAGAAGCAAGTTCGTGACGACTATAACGCAGCACCCTCTCGCACGTTCTTATCATAGAAAGTTCCTAATGTTCTTTTGAATGTTGACGTTATTCCGAAGACGTACTAAAAGTGTGCTTACCTCTTCACAATCGATCACATTCCATTAATTAACGTCTCGAAAATGACTATCAGCGATATTATCCCGGAAAGTAGTTGCAACCTATCGGAGAACTTGTAATGCGGCTTTAGTCAAAATAGAGCGTAAGTGGATAACGTAATATTTATTTTCAGATTGTGTGAAATATGATGAATCCGCATTTGCGCTATTGTTGTAACAACACGGCAAGAATGCAACGTGAAAGATAATGAAAGAACAAGAATGAAAGAATAAGAATAACTCGAGTGTGTTTGTATGTATATTTTGGTTTTGAATTTTCTTAATTAAACATTTTTATTTTCTCTTCTTAGAAGAAGGAGTACGAATAATGAAATAGACACACACACACACACACACATTACAATTTTAATATAACTTCTCTATCTCATTAAAAACATTCTCCAATATAAGTTAAAACCGATGCTTCGCGCTTGATTATAAGGAACGGCGGTCGCCATTAGTGAAAAAAAAAAAAGAAAAAATCCGCGGACGAACGAACAACGGGAACGAACAACTTCCGTTTGTCTCTGTAATTGTCCGAGTAATTTCGTGCACCGGAAAGAAACAAGCTTTGCGTAAGCACGCACCAACATAGATGAGTGTAGCGCATGATATTGCGAGCGAAAGAAATGTGAGTGGCATTTTAGCGCAACGTTCTCGTCTACACATTTGGCGTAATTAGGCGACAGCTAGCTGCAGAATCTCGACTTGAGGACAGTCTTGAGTGAATGGATCGTCCGGACGATGCATACAGAGAGAAAAAGAAGTGAATTAAAAAACGAGGAACGGAAGAGAAAGAGAGAGAAAGAGAGAGAGAGAGAGAGAGAGAGAGAGAGAGAGAAAAAAAAGCATAAAGAAGCGGATGTTTCTGGAGAACGTTTTGCCTCTTTGCAGCTGGCTCCGAGAAAAATATCGGAGCATTTCTTTTCTTAAAGCGAATGAAAGCAAGAGAGAGGACTTGGTCCGGAAAATGTGTGCATCCGGTCCCGTACCTTTTCGCTCACGCGGACGGATATTCTGTTTAGCCGTAGGACTCGGGCGCGGAATCATAACCCGGTCAATTTAATTTCAACTTCGATTGCGCGCTCGAAAAACTTCCGTTAACAATCCGCTTTTCGCATTTTATCGCGCGCGAAAAACGTCTCGACTTTTCCGCGTGCTCTCGCACGTACAACACGCGACTCCGCAACTTTCGCGAGTTGCCGCGCGATTACGATCGCGCTCAGAATCGGCTACGCCGGTCGAAAGTAAATCGGCGATATTGCCCCGGATAACACGAGGATACGCGAGGCAGAACTGCTCGTTGCTCCGAACGTACCATAAACTTCAAGGCGCTTAACCTTCGCGCGGTTAAGCGCGCTCTTAAAAGTTCCGAGGAGCTTCGAATAAACACTGTATAGGTACACAGGACGATTCACTTCAGTTTGAAGATCGAATATATAGATTAAATGTCTCATGATTGCACGAAGCAAATAAAAAGAGAGTTTTTATTGAAGCACCTTAAAAAAGCTTCTTACAGTTACAGTTTAAATAAATGATAAAAATTGCCAAATTGATTCTGACATTCGAAAATCGAAATAAAGATGCGATCAATGTTTATTTATGATGTCTCGGAAAAATAAAATCTTTCAAGAAAAATGTAATTTTTAATTTTGCGTTACGTTCACACACAGTAGAAAATGATTTACTTCGCAAATAAACCAACAATTACTAGACACACTGTGCCACGTGTACCATTAGTCAGACCACATACTGGAATGACAAAGCAACATGTACTCGCGACGTTTTGTCCGCAACAACTGACACACCTGTAACGATGAATATGTGCTTCTACGTGTGTGCACATGCATAGAATTTCTGTCTCAGATATGTGCTGATGATTCTCGTTTCAATGAGTATTCCATCTCACATAGTCTGCAATAGTACAGCGAGCTTTTGTTCGCAAGCGCTTTTATTTTATGTTATGTCTGTATATTTGTTAATTAATAATCTAAAAAAGTTTTTTTCTCGTTATATATTGCAACGTTACATTTTCCTGTTGATTAAAAAAACAAAAAACAAAAAAAACATAGCAAAAGCTAGAGTTTCATAAATGTGTCAAAATTTGCTTTTTATATTTCCGCACAAATGTTAAAAAATAATTTCTTTAAAATGTAATAATTTCTTTGAAATATTTCCGTGGAAAAAAAATCATATATATTATTTACGAATTTTTTGTGTGTGTAAAAAAACACTGGTTTAGATACTTTTTTCACGCATGTGTATATTTACCATTTGAATAATTGAGATTGATTGCGTTAGTACTCGCGTTGCGTAGTTTTTGAAAAAAAAAAAAAAAAACTATACGGCACACCGAAATGGATTAAAACTTTAAGACGAGGGAAAAACTACGGGATGAAAAAGCCAACGTACAAGAGTCATGGGCGAGCGGCATTAATGGATGGATGCGCTGACAAATATATGGAAATGACACCCGCTCAGCCGCGCATGCAGTCATGCCGCGAGCGTTCCAAATATGCGGGGGACAGCGCTGCTGAGGCGGAGGAGAACGAGTACAGAGAGAGAGAGAGAAAGAGAGAGAGAGAGAGAGGACGTGACAAAACCACCGTGGGCCGCTTACGAACTAGTCATAAACGTGGTGAGCCGGTGGCCATTACGAGACAAATGTTCGTCGTGGGAGAAGTGAGTTACCGGCATTACTGCGGACTCTGCGGCGTTTACTTTGGGCTCTAAAACATTTTGCGCCTAACAGCTTTCCCAGCTCGCTCGCTCTTTCTCTCTCTTTTCTCTCTCCTGCCCACGGTATTATGAATATAAATCTACTCCCGCGAGCCCGTCCCGCAGCCCTCGACCTCTTCGGTATCCGACAATTACACCGACCATGTGTTATGACCGGCTGCGGAAATAATCGCGCCGAAACACCGCCGGATCGTTTCCACGTGTCTAACGACGGTCTCGATAAAAAAAAAAAAAAAAAAAAATTATAAACCGCCGAGAACAGATAACGACGACGTCTCGTAACGCGTCCTCGATCGTGTTTTCCCGCGATAAGCCTGGTTTCTACGTGGTAGAATCGTGTTTGAAACAAAAATGTCTCTCTTGAACTTTGTCCGGGAAATGCGGAATTGTGTAATAAAACATGTACAATATCGCGCGCTGTGATTTTTTTGTGATGGTATATAGAAATAGATTTTAGTTTTGAAAAGCAATTTAATTGATCATATGTGTAGAGCAGAAGAAACAAAATAAACTATCACCATATGTCGCGATATGTGTAAATAATAACAAACGCGTAACTTGATTTGCATGAATAATGAATTATATGTTGAAACAAACGACGTGCATTTGCAAGTAAAAACAACAATTTGCAAAATATAACAAAACTCGGCTGCGATGTGTCAGCAATTTTCGAACAAGCGCAACACTGGCGTTAACTGATTGCGCGCGTTGTTTCTTTATCTTTAACAAGATTTTATCCAGACGTTGAAGTGTGTGGAAAGCAAACAAGGAAACAATTTTTTCCTACAGATATTCGATACAAATCAAAGTAATCGTTTTATTGAAAAACAAAAAGTTAAATATTGCACGAGAAACGTTTGTGTAAACGTTATATTATTCTTTAAACTTATTTTTTATTTAAAGATATCAAGATTAATCGGGTTTCCATTTGCGACAAAAATACAGAGTCACCGGTTCGACACACCATTTGCTTTTTATCTTACGATGTGAAAGACAGTTAAGAGACGAGACAGCAAGCGTCGGAAGACGCTGAAAAGGCCGCAGATAAAGGGTCGCAAGTCGATTACTCGCAGTACCTACATATCTCGGAACTTTATATCGGTCGCGACGTGACGAAGTGGTGCTTACTTTGCTTTCCTGAATGGCCATCCGTCCGGCACGCTTAGTCGCGACATGTCCAACGACGAAACGCTCTCCTGTTTCTGCTCCGAAGTGCATTTGTCCGCCTGCATGTCCCGGCCGGGGAAGGGAGATATTTCCCAAACGGTGTCGATTTACAGTGTCCCGGTTCGCGATACTCCGCAGCGTCGTGTTGTTCACCTGTGCGCACCCGAAGACAAGTGATTTTGTGCATAACGATCCGAATTTATCTTATCGCACGGAAACGTTCGATAAAAGCATCGGCCGATAATGATCCCCCCCTCTCCTCCTCTTCATCGATAATCTACAACGTCGCCGTGTCCGTCGAGTGCAGTTAGCTCGATATCGCTGGCTTGCACGGATTTCGGATATTCGCTGATATTAGGCACTTTTCGCGACGCCGCATTCCGGATACGGTAAACGCTCCGGTCACGTGTATGGGAAATGGCGGTCACGATGGAAATTGGCACGGCACTTCCGAGTTAAATGCGGGAACTACGAGACCTCAGAGTGTGTTTATCGTGTACGATGTACAATAATACGAAGAGTAACATCGCAGCCGGGCGGACAGTAGAAAGATAATTTTGTTAACAACTAATTCTCGGTTCGAGAATAATTTTGATTGCGTCATAACGGTTGGAAGAAATTGTTTCTTTATATTGTCTAGCTACATTGTCGCTTTCGCGGCGCTCTACTTTCAAATTTCGTTATTGTAGATGTAAAAAAAAAAAAAACAAGAAAAAAAAACAGATACATTTTGTACATTTTGTTGTTGCTCTACCAATAACAATCTTTTTAATAATATTCTTTCGATAACAACATGTGATCGCCGTGCAGAATTAAATACATGCCCTTCAGAAACGGAATATCTGACGACTTGTTCTTTCTGCGATATCACGTCTTTGAGTTTTTCAATTCTGTCGTCAGATATCAAAGCGTTTTATCCGCGCTCCTCTCCGTGCTGAGAATATCGGCGTTCGGCGCGCGACGTGTTTGCGCCGGCGTACGATTCCGCATGCTATTCGCGAGCTGTGCATTTCGAGCGTTCTACTTTACTACCACTTGGACCGATCGACCGTGTACAGTATGGCTTCGCGGTTAATCCATAAAGGTATTATTCGAATCGGCGATGTATGGCCGATTCAAGTATGATAATGACGAGTGCGTTTTATGAGTGTTCTTGCGCGGGAAAGGCAAATCGGCACTTCTCAGCCGATGTTTGTCGAAACGATCATTGAAATAGGGACGCGTACTTTAGACGAATCAACCGGCGAAATGAAAGAATTTTCTTCTCTGCTCTTTCAAATACGCTCGGAGAACAATAAGAAAACCCGTCGGATTGTTGGTGATATCTCGGCAAAGCCAGCACATCCGAATAATACCGTGCGGGAGATTTTCACGCGCGTGTTCCATTTACGAATGCAAATCGGAGGGACCATCTATTGTTGCGCGTAATTGATCCACGAATTTAACGCGGAAACATAATACAGTAGAACTCGGGTAATTTCGTGCGCAAGAACCCGATTTCAGAATTCGAAATTATTTTCTTTTATTTTTAGTCAGCAATCGATGGCGAGAGACAACACAGATATAGGTTTTCTCTTTCTCTTAGACTCTTGGAGTCTATCTTCATCTCAGAGTCTATCTAAGAGTAGCGCAATCACTCAAAGAATAAGGAATTATTAACAGCGAAGGAAACTGTTGGTTTATCCATAGAGGAGAAGTCAAAATTGTGTGATGCTCAAAATTAATTTAATTTTGGAGTTCTACTATGTAACGTAGATTGGCATTGTTCAAAATTATTATACAGAGTATTATTTATTTTTTTATTATTTTATTTATTATTTTACTGTGTAGAATTTATGCAATTTTTTTTTTATATTAGGTCGATGGAAATACGCTCTTTGAATATTTGTCGACAATTAAAATGCACTTTATATTTGCATGAAAAATAATTTTAATATATAAAGTTCCTCTTGCGATGTACATACAACAAGTTCATATTTGCGTACGTACAAGTTCGCTTTCCTCTCTCTCTCCCTCTCTCTCTCTCTTTCTCTGTCTCTCTATGTGTGTGTGTTTAAATGTGTAAAGAGCTTATATCGAAATATGACTATTATATCATTTCCACGAAACTCGGAAAGCGAGACTCGACGTTCTCTACTTTCGTCCTCAAATAGCCGGCGGTAGCCGAGCACAGCCGTCGAGCTTTCATCAAAGCTCAGTTCGCGAAGTGAGCCCAATGGACAGAAACGCGTCCATTTACTCGCGTTGCTGATGCTTGCCCCAGATCACTGCGAAGAGCGAGACATACGATCTTCTCTTCTAGACAGCGGTGTGTGACAGTTTTCTTCGACCCACATCGCCGCATTATACTCATCGAAAATCGCCAGTCATGACACATACCGAGCTACATGTCCACTTACATAGGAATTTTCTCTTTACCGCGCAACTTATCATTCCTTTTTCGAGATGCTCTTGACGTCACAGTGCTTGATATATGATACTGCCTTATTTACGTGACTGCGGTCATATTATATTAATCGCGAGTGTGCATCAAAATTGCAGCGATCTGAATAATCTAGAACGTGCCAATATCAAATTCCAAGAGGAATTATATTTTGAGCTCGAGGCATCTCGAAGAGGAAACGTTTGACGGTAACGAATGCACTTGACATGGTCTATCTTTTTCCAAGAAGTCACTTTTTTCCATATTTTTTATAACTTGAAGAAATTTGCTGACAGCGAACAGATTAAAAAAAAAAAAAAAAAAAAAAAAAGAAAACAATCTGTGAACTTTTGTTCTCTTTTTTCTCTTCTTTTTAAAAGAGAAAAATTTCCGAGCGAAAATTTCATGCGTTAAAAATTGCGACAACTTGATTAAGCGAAAATACACAATTAGAAACCTGTTATCTTGTTTTCTAGACGTACAACATGGACGCTCAGGTTGGCGAATCGTCGGCATGCGCGACGGCTCTGCTCTGCGGAGTTAAAGCCAATTACGAGACCGTTGGTTTGGATTCGTCGGCGCGCTTCGACAACTGTAATTCCAGTTCCAAGGCTCGCGTTCCTTCACTTATTAATTGGGCCCAAGATCAAGGTGAGTCTCCGCGAGTTTCGTAGTAAGTTTCGATATTACATACATCTAGAGCGCGGAGATATTAATATTTACATGTATTCAGCGGCGCGAAGTGCGGGATCAGAAATGTTTCGAGTAGTTCGAGATTTTCGAATAAAAATTTTAAATCGAGACCTCCCGGATTTGAATAACAATTGTAAACATACGACAATTTAAAAGTGTTCGTTCGTTTTGTACTAAAAACGGAAGATTGAATGTTGAATTTTGTGCAACAAAAGCAATATTGATTTCCTGATTCCAAAACGGAAGAGTAGAGGAAGACGCGTGGGTCTTCTCTCCTACACGTCCCTCGTATAAACAGATTAATCTTTCTAGTTGGATTGTTACTCTACTCTACTGAATTTCACGCTCCGACGTTTACGGTCCTGCGATCTCGTCATTATGAGCAAACGTAATTAATCTGCGCATACATCCAATTTGGCCGGGACGGGCGTTAAAACGATTAAACTGCCCAAACACGGTACACGATTAAATGCCCCCAACGTATAAATTGAAGTCGCGCGTGCGCGCGCGTCCTCGCGCCGCACACGGTGCACATCGTATTCTTGGCGCTTCTCGACCGGAAGTCGATATCTAATTTACGGCCGGCGCTAATTGCACAAGCTAGAGCGATTCGCTTAATGGAAGATTTCATGTGCTGTTTATTAACTCGCTCTCGCACATATTGAGGAACGTTGGTACCGAACTTTCACGATTTCGTAGCTCGCACTTTGTGGTTCCCGTATTTGTGGCAGGCGCATTATTAGCTCGTAGCTTTAATTAATAATACAAATATGTTAATTAACAATGCACATACATATGTTAGTTTTGATTGTTTTAGAAATTTTTTGTACAATAGAAAAAGTTAAAACATTTACTACAAACATTTAATTTGTTTTAATTGATACGTCAATTTACATTTCGATATGTAATCTCAACCAGTTTATGAGACAGTTTTGTTGTTTTGAGATAAGTTTCAATTATATTAAATAAAGATTTATTTTGAAAGTATCACAGGAATTTAAAAATTATCTGGGATTGCTAAGATCTCATTAGCGATTTGCATTTCTGCAAATTCAACGAAATCTCTCATTTGTTCTAATCAACATTTTTATTAAAATAAAATCTCGAATTCTCTGACGAAGGGAAATTAGACGAAACACGATGGGGGAATGCAAAATTTTCCGGGAACGCATATAGAAATTAGCATTTCGCGCTTGAGGTTAAGATATCGATAGGATTCTCGTCTCTATTGTGTATGCGAGCGACGCCGTAATTTACATACGCGTATTATCCGATAGGAGACAATAATCTCGGTGCATCCACCGGTAATCGGTCTGTCCAGGATGCCGAGATATTCGCAATGCGCATCCTGGCGTAAGGAAACGCGAGCGCGCCTCGCGTCAAAGGATTCGCGTATATTCGAAAGGGCTTTGTCGATAGAAAATGCAATTAGAGAAAGGCGGTCGTCGCGCTTCACAACCGTTAGACGGGCGTCGTAGTCAAAGGAGGAGCGGCGCCGTTAGACATTGTCTCTGGGTATTGAATATAAATCGCACGAATATATGCTCGCTTATATGATGACGTTTTATTATGTCGTTGCGCTAAAACGGCGCCGTTAAAGCTAAATCAGAAATGAGTGTTGCACACACGTGCAACGAGTGTATGTGTGTTATTATACGCATCGCGCATCGTTGCAGCGGTCTATACCGGGTGTCTGTTGCAGACGTAATTATCGGCGATACAGTTATAATTGCTTTTGCGCTGCGAGACTCTGTAAGTTTACGAGCGGGCGTGCCGTGGCGGTGGCGGCGAATTAACGTTACGCGTTTCTGAGTCATTAGTAATTGTTTACGGTTGTTCGCAATCACCGGACACCGCAAAAAGCGACGCGCGAACGAGCGCGGCGCCCGCCGTCGTAATCCGTTTGCAACATAATTTCTTGCTTCTGCGGGAGCGATGTTCGCGCGCACAGATGGTTCGTGAATTTCGCACGCACGCGCGCTATGTTGAATAATAAAATAATTAACTACACACAAAAATATAATGCCGCGCGTATATGTGCGCGCGAACATTATTACAAATTCCAACGACACACGCCTCGTTAGCTACCTAACAAGTAACTCCCCTCCAAACAAGTCTCGCCCCCTTTAATTCACCGCCGGTAGGTGTTTGTTGTTTTGTTTTTATTTGAAAGTTGAACATATTCCCTCTGTATATAACGTTTTCGCGCACGTAAGCTCTTCGACCATTGACAGGTAAACTCTGTTTAATTGAAGTATACGATTTTCTTGCCAATTACGGAACTGTAATATCACCTGACGTTTGGGGAGTTAGGAAGAGGAGGAGACGGAGGAAAACGGGAAGCGGAAGCCTGGGGGGATTATAGGCCGAGCAATTAACGGGGTTTCTTCCCTCGTTGGCGACGCGGTATTGCGCAATGTCGCGAAACACAGGACTTTCTGCGGGTCGTAGCGCGCGGTCGCTTGCTCCGTGTTTACGGCAACAAACAGAGGCGTTGGTGTTTTTGAGTAGTTGACACGTTGCCAACGTGGATCGAGCGGCAATCCGGCATATGTATGCGAACACGTTGCTGACACGTGCGCCACCGACGCGGGATCGAGTTGTATGTACACGGCGGGAGAGAGAGAGAGAGAGAGAGAGGGAAGGGGGAGATGAAAGGACGAGCTTGCTTCAGCGCGATCATTAAGATGAATGGCCCGAGCTGATTAATCGCACGCCGTTTGCCGTTGACACCGTCGGCTTTTCGCGCGCCCGCGGCTTTTTGGTCCTTTCTCACCGCGGCGCGGGGTTTGGTCACGTTCTTTAGCGCGATGTGAGATGACGGCGCGACGCGACGCTTCGGAAAAATCGATGTTAAATGCGCGGAAGGAGCAGGGAATTTTTAAAGTTAGTGAGAGAACGGATGTACGTAACAAAGCGAAGAAGAGCAAAGACAACACGGGAGACAATACAGGAGTAAATAGTACGAGACGTGTCAGTCACTTGAAAAATGTCGTTAGTTTTGCACACACAACAGACAAACAGCGAGCGAGAGGGTAAATGTTTAAAATGAAGTAATTCGGTACACGGAAAAATAGTTTTGCTGTTAAATGTGACCGGCGGAAAAAAAAATTTACCAAGCCTAACCGAAGTTTTTGTTTCATTAACAAAATGTTTCGTTGGCGGAGCGACAAATTTAACAGACTTGGCAAATTTTCTCGCTGGCAATACTAATCTTCTTGCTACTCCAGTAAAAAAATGTTTTCGACGCTTGACGTTTCCATGTTTTTAGAAGAAAAAATTTAATTTTGTTAATTGTATAGACATAATTTACAGGCGCGCGACGAATAGTTTTTTTTTTTTTTTTAATTATCGCAAATGGATGTATTAACATGTACCATCGGCGTATCTGTGCTATTTCGTACCAAATCGGGTAGAGGTGTCTATGGTCTACCGTTAAATGTCCACAGATTCGGAACGTCAATGTTCCCAATACCGATTTCGCATCGGGGAATTCTCGCAGTAAAGCAACTTCACGCGCGAAAAGGGGTGAGTTAGATACGTGAATGGGGCTGTTCTCGAGCCGCGCGCGACTCACTACGGTCCATTTCGCGCATCTCGAGGGGCGAATAGAGATTCCACCGATTTCACTCTTCTCTCTCTCTCTCTCTCTCTCGTTCGTTTCAAAGCTCCTTGAGTTATTATCTTAAATCGCGAATCGTGCGCGACCTACGAAATCGGACGGGGGTTTTGCCCGTGGATAAGGACGAATTGAGAACGAGACCGCGAAGTATCCGGCGAATGATTCGCCGCGGTTCTCGTATTTACGTTCCCCAAATCCGAGAACATCTTAATGCGGGGACCGGCTTCAATCCTTCTCGGCGCAAAATTTATGTGAACACGCATAAAAGAAAGAAGAATAATAGCGTCGACTGGATTTTTTCGCAATTTTAACGCCATTTTCACGGTTTCTATATCTCTAACCCCGGATAAGTCTAGGATTGATTTTTTAAACTTCCCCCGTAAAAATTCGAACGCAATCTGTTTTCACAACTTTTCAATTTGAAACTTTTCAGTTTGTAACTCGGTAGCTAAGCCTCAAATTAAATTGCTCTTAAAGCAAAGTCACTTCGAGTTAACGAAGAAACAAAGTTTCTCGTAGTACGTTATTACCGGGAGCTCAACTTGTCAAAATGCTTTAATTTTCAAAACAAGATGTGAGTAAAACTAATTATGTAAGTAATTTATGTTCAATAACTTTAATATATTTTTCAATAATCTTGTTTACTCTTGTTTACTCTTTCGTTTAATTATGAAATTCGAGCTCTTGCAATTTTATTTTTTTTAATATAATTTTTTTCAAAACAAAATATATCTCAACTATACGTAAACGCGTAGAGTATGTTGTTTTATTCATCTTTAAATTGAAGTTTGTGAACTGCGACATAAAACAATTTCTTCTCAGATCTAAGCTTTCAGAGATTAATTTTGTTACGAAGGATCGAAAAATAAGGTCGCAACTCAAACGGGATGCGTGGTGATAATTTCCAGTCGAGATATATCAAGATCAAAGGATACCTAAGCGGATCTTTAATGAAGGACTACGCATCGACACACTCAGCTCGATTAGCATCGACCATCCACGCTCGAGCCACTCTCGTAATTACTGACCTCGGCACACGGTTGGAACAAGCTCCGCGTGCCAGTGCCAACTTAATTCCTTACTCTGTTCCACGCTAACTTCCGAGACGCCGTCGAAGATTATTGCAAAACGCTCGCGTAATTAAAATGCGATCTCACGAGCGTCGCGCTATACGATTCTTCGATTACATATCCGACTTATTTTTAATCATCAAATGCATATTAAACGTTTTACGTTATTATCTTATTACGTACGAGATCTAAGTACTTGTGTAAATTGAAAATTTTTTGCGAAAGAGAACATTGATTAAAAATATCTAATACCACGTACACTGAGTTGTCACATCTGACACACAAAAAAAAGAAACAGAAAAATCACAATTTTAGAAAAGTAATTATTACTACCGGCTAAAGTGTCTTTTTCGCAATGAAATTTTTAATTTTCATAGAGAGGTAACTTGGGGATATTTTACATATGAGATGCAAACCAAGTATTTTACATGAATTTTTTAATTGGACTAGCACAACACAAGCACGCGCTACGCGCACGCTATTATTGCTTTTTTTAACGTGTAATGTCAGTGAACTTAATCTGTTACCGCAATAACAGCTGGTGTATGGGTAATTCTCAAAAAACGTAATCTCCGTGGTATATTGACATGAAAAACATAGATAGAAGTGTTTTATATTGCATAGTTACGTATTTATATTACAAATGATGACTTAAAATGGTATGAAAAAAACATAATTCATCGCTATCCGTTAGTTTAATAATACTTATTTTTTATCAAAAATGAAAGTTGAAATTTACGCGTTCACAGAGAATCACCCATATACGTCTTACAAACAATATAATACACATGATGTACATATGAGAGATGTCAGAAATAACGCATGAAAATCAAATTCGAAAAATAAAAGAAAGAAGGGAGAATAGAAAAACACCATGTTACTAAAGTCACGTGACAGGGAAAAGAATAAAAAAAAGAATATGATATATATAATATTCTATATCTATATATAATACACACACACACACACATATATATACATATCGTAGTCATGTAACCTCTCCGCGGTCGCGCGGCCGAGGTCAGTGACCCCACCAAGATCGCGCGGCCGAGGTCAGTGACCCCGCCGCGGTCACGCGACCGATGTCAGTGACCTTACTGTAGTATGTATATAATACATATAATTTAATATAAAGTATAATATTATAAATATATAATAAATTATATGTATAATATACATTATTTATGTATAATATATATTATATATTATTTAATGTTATATATAATATATATAATATAAATTACGTCACGTTACTTTAGTCACGTATTGTTTTTCTACTTTTTCCTGTCACATGACTTTAGTTTAGTCACGTTTTTAATTTTCTCCACGTATACGACGAACTGTCAAAATCACTTTTCTGTCATTATTTACTCTCTCGATCTTATCGATTCGACTTCGAAACGCGCAGTTTGTGGTACACATGGATTTGTTTTATATAGGAGGATTTAATCCGTTCTTGTACAAAGTAGTTAGTTTGACAAAACGCGAGCCGCAGTGGAGGATAAAGTTTCTCACGAAACGGGTCAAAATGACATTCTTTTTTTTTATGATTTATAATCGGCACGAGTCTTCATTATACAAAAAGAGGTTAATTCTTTGTGTATTAATTTAAACGTTAAAAAGAAATTATACTTATTTGCACAATCATCCGGCATATTGGATTGTATCGACTCCAATACGCTTACTTGTCAGTGTAAACGTGTTTATGTAATTACATTTGGAGTTTTGTATGACGAACAAAAATGACGTTAACTCATTGCATTAATGATCTCTCATTGCGGATAGTTATTCTCGTATTTATGAAAGTGCGCGCAATTCCGTTAACAAATGTTAAACACTATCTTCGAAAAATATCCGCTTTCCAGGATTTCTCTCGCACAGGGCGGGGGAAGAGGGGGTTTGTCTTTGCTAAGAATTTACATCCGCGAGAGCGAGTGACTTTGCGTTAAATACGGTACAAACAAGTCTACATTCGGCTGAATAATACATCGACTCGACTTCGCCAGTAATAATCCCCGGTTACGCCCGGCTTCGTGCCCGGCTCAGTTCGACATTCTAAAATCCACTCTGCCCCCAATGAAGTATAAATCGTACTGATTCGCCTCGGGGGTCGCTACTCGGGAAATTTGTCTTCCGGGTCTACGTCGGTGGCTGGTGCACGCTCCTGCCCCGCTTAAATGCGATAAAGTCGGACGCGGATACGAACGACCGCGAGGATCCGAAGGAGTGATTTACGAAAGCACGTACGCGCTGCTGGGAACTCCGCCAGTGGAGAACAAAGAGAAAGAGAAAGAGAAAGAGAGAGAGAGAGAGAGAGAGAGAGAGAGAGAGAGAGAGGGAAGGAAAGAATAGTAGAGAAGGCGTGACAGGCGGAAAGAAGAGCAGAGCGGAGGGAGGGAGAGAAAAGAAAACTTTGCCACTGAAGAGACAATTCGATTTTTCTGTTCGCAGGCAAATCGACGGGCCTGGTTACAACCACCAGGGTGACACACGCGACACCGGCGGCTCTTTATGCACATGCAGCCAGCCGTTACTGGGAGGACGACGGCAAGGTGCCACCTGCTGCACGTACCTCGTGCAAAGACATCGCGCGTCAGCTGCTCGAGGACGAGCCCGGCAGTAACATCACTGTATGTAATAATATCCCACCGTCGGCTCGTTGTGTGAGCGGTGAAAAATATATGATACTTTTTTTACGCGCTTTACGCTAGTTTGATAACTATATTTCATCGCGAAGAGATGCAGTCAGGAAACTTTCATATAAAAGAGGCAAACGAGAGATCGATATGCATTTCTCCTTGATATTTGCGCTTTATGATCCAATACGTGCGTTTTACGTATATGTTTTATAGTTTCGCGAACTCGTCATTCTATCTGTAAAAATAAGTGACACGTTTATTGTTTCGCAGAAGAATTTTTTTCCCGAAAACAAATAACTCAATATTCAGAACAAGTTGATATTTGACGCGGTGTGTTGCGTTCGTATCTAAAGATGGTTTTCGGGTTCGAACCACGTTAGTTGCCATTTTTTTTATACCGACGTCTCGTGAACATTTCAATGTCATCAGAATATTAGTATCAGGTTAGTCTTGAAACCTTGCCCGAAAAAACTAGCTGAAGATTTGAATTTTTTGATTGTAGCACAAGTTGCGCGTGATAAAATCTCGATGAACTTTTCCATCGTGTGAGATTACGAACGAACACGCTTTATCGAAAGGCGCGGGCAGCCGATGTCGCAGTAAGATCTAAAAATAAAATGTTTAGATATTATTTTATTACTCGAGTCTCGCGGAAAGTTACAAAGTGCGACGATCGGAGATGTAAAGCCTGTCCGATATACGATTATGCTCGTCAGATGATGTACAGTTATGATATTCCTCCCGGGCATATGAGTAAAATATAAAATCTCGTGTATCGCGGCTTGTTCGTCTCCTTTATCACATTTTATTGCGCCTTCGATCTTATATCGATGGATATAAAACACGACGTGTCGTAGCGTGTTCGCGCCTTTTATCACATGATGCTTGTTTTAGATGTTCTTTCTGTACTGAACAAATCGTCACAACGAACGGAGGATATTCTGTTATCGTTTGGCGGTTGTGTGCGTGTACGTTGTTATTCTTTCGCGTTTGTGTTTATTTGAAAAAAGGAGAAAATAGATTTTTATAAAGTTTTTACGATCTGTGAGAGAGAGAGAGAGAGAGAGAAAAAGAGAGAATGAGTGAGAGTGAGAGTGAGCGAATGAGTGAGTGAGAGAGAAAGAGAGAAGAGAGAAGGGAAAAAAGTTATTCATCCGAAAAACTGTGACCTTAATATGAAATATAAACAGCTGCTGATTACGGCCTGATTAAACAAAACAAGAAAAACTGCGCGTACAATTTCTTAAATGATAAATATTGTTCTATAAATTTATACATTTGCATCTTATAAGACAAGCTCACGTCGCGGTAGAGACTACTAGACGCAACAGAGTTAATTAGCGTTCCTTATCTGTCGAAATGACTTGTGATGCTGTTTTTCGTAAGAGTTCTTGCCTCGAAGTCCAAACGAAGCAAAGAACTCCGCGGGCTATTTCATTGAAACTCTGTCTTCCGAGAAAGTTCAGACGAAACTTTCTTTCTCATTAAAGTCGTTTCGGCGTGCCTCGTCAGGACGACACGGATAGACGAAATCAAAGGTCGATGAGTATGATGTTGATGATGAATTAAAATTTTTTTTTTTGCTTCAAGATCTTGCCGGATAGAGCAAACAAGCTCGAAAAAGATCTATTTGCGCAATGTTTAATCAAGATTATTATTATAAGATTATTATAAGATTATTATTATTTTAAATTAACCCTCAATATACACACACTATGTCTGAGTCCCTATTTAGCCACACGTGGATTAGCATAACCCGACGTTTTCTTTCGCTTATAACTCGGGCTGTAATCAATCAATTTTGACGACTTTTTTCTCAATCGATAGCTCATCATCTCAAAAAAAAAAAAAAAAAAATGAATATTTACATGAGAAAGTCAAAAATAGTACAAGGCAAACGACATTTCAGAAAGAGTAAAAAGGAAATTTTAAAATTTCACGTGTCGGTTACAACGCCCTGAGTTACGCTAACCCAGTGTGTACACTGAGGGTTAAGAACGTCACTACACGTGTTATGTGTGTGTGTATTAAAATAGCATTTTACTTTTGTTTTATGTGCGCCAAAAAGTGTCAATATATTTAAATGCAAATCGCTTTATTCTCTAAATACACATCGAATGAACAGAGAATTTCTCAATTATATAAAAAATAATCAAGTTTTGTAAAGAAACAATTGCGTTGCAATCGAGACAAAAATGTGTTTGTGAGAATTTTATTGAGCATTTTACTTTAATGCAAAAATTGATACGATTGATGCAGGTAGTGCTTGGTGGCGGCAGACGTCACTTTGTATCAAAAGTGACTTTGGATCCGGAAGAACCCGACAAAGAAGGTAGACGATTGGACGGTCGGAATCTGATCGAAGAATGGTCCAGAAATTTTCGATTAAGAAACATACCCGCAAAATATATCTTCAACAAAGAACAATTCGAGAGGGTGGATCCGAAAAGAACGAACCGGCTTTTGGGTATGTAACGTAACAAAGTTTTATCGTTACTTTTTCCAAATATCTTGTTTTATATTAACGGTTGTGTCTTGTATCTTGTATCTTGACAAAGTTAAAGTTTTAGTAACTGTTTAGTTATTTCAATGAAATATTCTCTTCAACGTTTTCTAACTACGTCATAACAAGCATTAATGCATTTTCATTAATAATTATTCCTTGTGTCAGTTTGCCAAATACTCTCGTCAACTATTCTACGTCTTGTAAACACTGTAATTTCCATTCAGGATATTCTAATGACATTGTATATGCGTGATTAGCTAATCATGCTGCAGAATATGCTATGTTAATCTAGTCTCCGAATATAGGTTTATGATTTAGGGATTAATTATGCAATACGCAGCTAAACATTCTATTATTTACTCGTATTTAACATCTAGGAATTAAAATTTCTTCTGTCCATTAAATTATTTGAAATATAAATTGTGTGAGGATTTATATATATGTATTTTTCGTTTGAATCGTTTCCGAAGATTTCAATAAATTCAATTAAAAAAACTGTAAAAGCAATAAAATACTAAAATTTCAATTGCAGAAAAGACTACAAAAAGTTGCGAATATCCAATTTATTAATTCGTTGATTATAACTTTTATTTATTCGTTTTAGTTACGTTAAACACTGCACAATTGCAATGAAATATATAAATAATATTTACATAATTGTGAATAACATGAAATTTTAACGTTAGGTTAAAACGAGCAACGATTATTTGCGCGCAGTACGATTCGTAACCAACGATTTAATTTTCATAAAAAATTCATGAAGTGAAATGCATGAATCAGATTGGAATTTGTCACACATGTGGCATACGAATGTCACAATGGCTTATAAGAGTTTAATTTGACTGATCATTCACGCTCTAGATTTGTTTGTAATACGATTGGTCTCTCTGTGCCCGTATTAATTGCGTACTGTTGTTAGTCTGATAATCAATGTATTAATTATTAGACATTCAGCGCTCAGATTATGAGATTACATCGTGTCTATCGATCGTTTATTGATAACTTCTCTGTGTGCCTAGCTAATAAGATAGAGTATCAACTGCTGATCAGTGGAGTGAAATTTTCGGATATTCAAGAACGTTGCGTGCAATCAATTCGTTTCCATCAAACAATAATGACACGTGAAAAAACGTCAAAAATAAAAACGCGAGCTGTTGTTTGACGCGAGCGACAAACTAGTGATTTCAAAATTATAACAAAAATATTATATTTCACGATATAAAAATTCGTTTGATCAATCAATTTACAATCGTTTAGTTATTTTATCTTCTGTCGTCATACTCGATTAAAAATTTTTTGTGTTGAGTTTTTCTACAGATGTTTCAAGAGTTTTATGTACAGATACCGTTCGATTTCTCGCGTCTTACTTTTCGATTTCACGGTGTCCCGATTTCCCAACTTGCGCCTCTTGCAATTTCTTTATTTTTGTCCACACGGTTTCCGGACTTGTTTCCGTAAAACGCGACCCAATTATTTACCTCAAAAAAAAACTTGTTTTGTCGCAGGTCTCTTCGCTTATTCTCACATGGACTTCGACGCCGATCGGAACACAAACGACACCGGCGATCCCTCTTTGGCGGAGATGACGATTAAAGCGCTTCGTATACTTCAGAACAACCCCAACGGATACTTCCTTTTCGTGGAAGGTAAGTTGTGGAAAGTTACGACACGCGGGGGTGGGCGGGGAGGAGGGGAAGAGGGAGAAGAAGCTACTTGCAAGAGTTTGCGGTGGCGAAGAGAGCATACAGTAAGAGAGATACATCTCCGGCGAGATGTCAACAAGGAGAGCCAGTTTCAGGCATTTTACGATACTCCACGGCGAGACAAAACTTCAGATTTCTCGCCGTTCTTAAACATAGAAACTTACTATTTTTAAGAGGAAATACGGCGACGACAAAACGCATCCGAGCGGGGAAACAATTCTTTTGATGCGCACAATTTTAACGTTTTAAAACTTTTAACACAATTGAAACGATTCACTCGCGGCCACAATTTGCAAAACGCGCTGTAATGTGTTATTTTGCATTCAAATTCGCAGTAGTCGAGTTAACAACTGCGAACTAAAATAGCACAGTTCTCTTTATTTTATCAACGCGCAAGGAAACGTTTAAATATATATATATATATATATATATATATATATATATATATATATATATATATTTATGTTTTATATTCAAATTACTCTGACGAATTTCTCTTTTATATGTAACTATATATGTATATACATACGCGAGTACGCAACTTCGGAACATATCGCTTTCACCGAGATACTTCTATCCGCAAACTGACGGAGAACTAAGAGCTTTTTAGGTTTTTACAGAAGTTGGCCGCTTCCTTCGATGCGGTTGCGGATTTCCTTTGTGTTTCTCTGATAAACCGCGCTTCCTATATAGACCGATGCTGCGGTCAACACATTTTGCGCTAGAGATTTAATTTTTTTACTAGCGAATAATTATATTTTGTCAAATAAAAAATAAAAATACTACGTGGTCTTTGATAGTTTAGTATTTCGCAAAAATTTATTCGCAAATTCCATTTGTCTACACATGACACGGTATTTTCTATTGTGCAATAATAGAATTATAATTGATATATTATTTTAATTGATATGTTCACATATATAGTGCAAAGAAAATCGAATAAAAACATTTTAGTTTGATATTTTAACGGCTAGCGGGTCATCGGTGCTCATTCTTTGACATTTTTCAAAGCAACTTTTACTTCTACGCTGTGTTGTTTTCTATCCAAACGGTGCACGGGTCGGTCTTTCATGATAGGCAAAAAAAGAAACAGCCTGACATTCATGTCAGGCTCGTGTTCACGCTATCAGACTTCAGTAATCGGACAGAAACTGGTCTATTCGATGCGACTTGGACCGTTTGAGAAAAAATTTGCGTTTTGTTTTTACTCGAATTAATGTTTGAAAGATTCGATACAGGTTGCCTCTCAATCGATAAACTCGATTGAAACGGAAAAATTCTAAAGTGTATTCGAAACTCGGGACCAAGCTATAGGTTCTGTACTGAGGTCGCGAGATCTTCAAACAATAAGCGGTTTATTTAAATAAAGAGATAAACAAAGACGAATGACGCGCGTGTATGCGTGAGGTTGTAGATAGTAACATCAAAATTTTTTTTCATAATTTCATTGTGACTATCATGGTGGATAACACACGTGACGTACGTACATATGTGCGGTATAGATGCGCCGAAATAACGAACGGAGAAAAAAAAATAAATAAATGATGCGCAGAGTAGGAAAAAGCATTTGCAATTCAATGAGAGCTGTCCGACAAAAAAAACCGTACCGCGCTTTTATATACGCACGTTCGCACGCGTCCAAATTTCGATTTAGTCAGCGAATGAAATAAAGCGCGATTATAAACGCGCAAGCAATATGATAAATCATTTTCCGCGCATTCAGGTTTGTTTGTGAATTCGGAGGCGAGCGATCGGTAAATTGTTTCGATGATTTTGAAAAAACACCGCCGACGCGTCAAAGGTGGCAACGGGAAAAGGGACGCGACAACAATTTATAATAGAAGTAAATTATTAAACGAGCGCTTGACGGTTTCGCGCGCGTTACGAAATCACTTTTGTATACAGGTTGTTTCAGAAGAATTGTGATGGTCTACAAATATTTTATTAAATTTGGAATTCAGCTGACGTGCGGACAATAAAAATTTTTAACGAAAGATGTAGAGAGAATAAGTGATGGTTTTTCTCTTCGAATTTTCAATAATAAAATTGTAAGAAACGGTTTGTTGTATCTTTTACCTAAAGGGAACAATGTTTATTTTTATTTATGAAACATGATATGATACAACTTAGTGATCGAATTAAAGTCTGTCAAAACAGTCGGAATTTATATTCTTAATTCGATACACTTTTCAGTTTCTTCTTAATTTAATAATATTCGCAAGAGAAAATTTTTCTTGCAAAACGCATCTCTCTAACGTTTGCAAAAAAATATCGTATATAATAACTCAACGAGATGAAGTATTCCCTTTAATCAAATAGACAAAAGAGTTCTTCCAAAAATTGTCTGTGCGCTCTGTGAGCGGTTTATCGAGTTTACTCCTTTGTAGTTTCTGAAAACAACTGGTATTCTGGTGTCTCACAATTACCCACGTACAAAAAAAACAAAAAAAATCGATGCCACAGCTAGCAATGTTTTTAAAGTTTTGGAGGACACTTACGAAAACTGCTGATCTGAATGTACCCGGGAGAGATTGGAACGCCGACACGTTCTCTCCTCGCGTGCGTATACATATAAATGAGTTCGGAAACTCCGCGCTGAAGTTACTTACGTGAAGTAGCTACCCGCGTGCTCCCTCAGATTGCAACAATTTGATTAACACTTCTCGGAGTACGCGAGAACGTGCTATCATCCTTCAGAAGGGCCTGACGCATTGTTCAGCAATAAGAGTGCCGCATATTTGCAACACGTTCCTTTCGAGCGACATTGGTTTGCACCGCATTACTCACCGCTGAAAAAACCAATATCTCGGAATAACAAATGTTTTAAGTTGAACTAGTGATTTAAATAAAACAATTTTGAAACTGCTGCGTGCGCAAGAGCTTGCACATGCTGCCAGAAACGTACGAAACATTGAATTTATTCTTGAATGAGAAAATATGAAAAATATACATATGCATATTGATTGACGTTTCTTGTAAAAATTATCTCAAAATGTTATTTAATTAATTTTTTGTTTTATAACTATTACAGAAACTAAATGTGCGAGATATAATGTTTTGCTTATAACATATTACATTTTGTTTTGTTTTGTTTTTTTTAATGTTAATTTGTCGCACTAGCACATTTTTAAATAAACTTTGACTCTCACAAATTTTGACGAGTTTCACCTAAAATTGCGATAAAAATTTAAGAAAAAACGTTTTCTTACATAAAATCTCACTATTATTGCTGTGACGGTGTGTGTTGCGCGACCTTCTCATCTAACAAATCTTGAAGGAGTTGCACGAAAGAGTTAATATGAGAGAGCGAAACGATAAATAGGGTGAATTTACATAATTGGTTTTTTATCGGAAACAATTTTCTTTAATGACTTTAAAAAAACTCGTCAGCCGCTGGATTAAATGTGCTGACAGAGAAAATTATCGCGCTAAAAATTTTTCTCTTGATAACATACTTACGTAATAATACTTACACTTTATGTCTACAAGAAAATGTTTCTACTTTGTCTACCAACATCACGTAACAATTATGTAACAAGAGAACCGTTCTGGCGAATTCTTACGGTTGTTTCTTTTATTTAAATTGTTACTATTTCTGTTATAAAATTTTTTAATTTATTTTTTATGACGTTCTCATTCTTTGTATAGCAAAACAACAAAACAATTTAGTTTTTTTTTGGATACTAATAAGAGAGAACGGAGATGAATTTTGCAAAAAAAAAGACGTTTCGTTAGTGTGTGCGCTGTTTTTTTTTCTCATTCTTCACGAGATGCATAGCAACATGTACTGATGAAGTCAATTGCGTTTTCGAAGAAAACGCGCACACACAGTTTATTGAAAATTTTGTGTATACTTTAAAATAAAGTGCAAAAAACAACACAATAGTAAACGGTTTTGCAATACTAGTAAAAAGCGGCAGAAGTTAATAATGCGATACGTAGACACGTGCGCAAAACAAGTTCATTTGTTTGCAAATGGAAAAAACTCGATAATTAGAAACGGAACAGAACGGAGAAAAATACAACGGACGGAAACAGGTATATGAACACTATCACGTGTCCTGTTTTTATTCTTATTTTGTAAAACGACTTGGTTTTCTTCTAAACAATTATTTTTTTTTTATATTTTTTTATTTTATGAAGAAATAATTGAATTTAAGTAATGACATTACTACACAGAGGAGAACGAAAACAGAGAAAAAGGAAGTGACAAATAATAATTCTAACAGCAATGCGTGGATCACTGTCACGTTATTCCAGGCAGTTGGTGACGATTCTGGTCGATATCTGTCCTTGCTCTCGCATCGCTGCGAGACAAGCGCGACAATACCGCGACGTTATACTCGCACATGGTGCTTCGCTTAAGTTGCGCGCAGAGTTTTCGTACACGATTCTCGCTCGCGCGACTTGCGAAACTTTGTCTAAACGCTCAGCTGATTTTCGATAACAAGAACCCGCTGACCTAGTTTCCAATCAGCTGTCAGAACACATTCGCGACAGGCAAATCGCTCGCGCGATCATTGTTTTACACGTGAGGCTGTGAGCTTCAATAGCCGAAAGAATATATTTTCCTCTTTCTTCGATAGTCTTGCCCGCGCGTCGAGTCGTATCTCGATAGCTTCTCGGATAATGCCTTCGATAATACTTCGATAGCCAACCCGGCGAAATATAAATTGTTTTTTTTTAAGTAAATATGGTAAAACGCATCGCAAATCGTACGCGTGCATGTATAGATACGCTTCCATTGTGGGTAGTCGCACAATAAAAAGCTATTTTTCCACGCGAATTATGTTACGGGTGTGTTTTTGTTTGTTTTGAAGCTTTGGATGATGATTTTTGCGATATTAGCACGTGTCAGATGTGTTCTACTTGTCACAGAGTGTTGTCGCGTAAAACAAAAATATCGCTGAATATCGCGACGATTTAAAAACGGGCGTTAAAAT